AGCCCTTCTCTACCTTTGTTTTCGAAGCTAAGAGGGTACTGGCTTCAGCTCCGGAGCCTATAAACCGGCAGGCTCAAAATACTGGAGTGAACAGGCGAGAGTCTGGCAAATATTCAAAGGGTGGAAAAAAAATAGATAATAGAAATTTTAAACTAATTAAACTAATTGATTAATGTTTACCTTAAATTGTATGCAAAATAAAAATTTCCCCAAAGTTAAAACAAACTTATACATTGGGAGAATTTTTTAAATTTTTAATTTTTTGTTAACCCTTTTTTTGAAAATAGAAAAAATACCATTTAAACGATAGGGCAAGGATAGATTTCAAAGCAAAAGAAAAGAAATATTCTTATTATCAGGAAATTTTCTGATTGTCTTCCTATACATGTAGCAATTTGTCATATAAAAAATCATATGTGCCAACAATAAATTACTGTATTGTAGTTGTATGCTATCCTGCATTCTAATCATAAGTTACATTAATCATAAGTGAAATATTCATATAAATTGTTATGTGATCATATTTGATATTCTTTATGCTCCCCTTATTCTACCAAAAGTAAAGCTATCTCCATGGTTATGATTTAAAAGGCAATATTTTAAAACCCATGTCTATATACTGAAGTATTGGTTTTTCCCCACTGCGATCTTTCTGTATGATCCAAATAAATTTGCAAATTTTTTTTCAACAGAATTTTTTTCTTGAGAAGAGAGTTGGATGAAATTAGACGAATTCTATGAAATTTACATACTTACCATATTTATATGATGTTAAATTTATATATCTGTTCATAATGTATAAAGTAAATCATATGCATATATGTGTATATGTATAGTACACAATTGTTTGTCAGTGTTTACATGAATCAAAATAACAGACAATATTTTTAGTTCCTTGTTGATGTATTTATACCATTTATTTTTACATATCATGTTGTGTAAATATAATCTTTGTTTAATCGAATAACAACCTTGTATATTGCTTGTTAAATTTTTATATCATTATTATAACTTCATACATGTATACATCAATAATAGTTGTACAGTTAATATATTCACTGATTATGCAATTTTTGTTATTTTCTATCTTCATGCTAATGTAAATGCTAGAATACATTTCAAAATGCGCACAGTTAAAGGTTGTAAGGAAGTTGGGTTAGATTTGTTTTCATTCACTTTATTAGACTAACTTGATGAATTTATTTCAAGTATATTTACTGTCTAAGTTCTATTGTATCAAAAGTAGATATACTGTAAACTATAATGTCCAGTTCAGTCTTGTACAGACATTTATTTGACTTACAGGAAAGTCCTTATTATAATTCATTTAATATGATCATAGCAAGATTGTTTGAAGAATTTTGGTGCATTTGAAATGTATTCATGTGTGATATTTGGAGATGTTCTGATTTTACCAGAGTGAGAATTTTAGACTGTGTACCAATGTTACAATAGCAGTCTAATTTGTGCATTCTCTTGCCGTGTTATAAAACTCTTCTATTGATTTATAAGGGATGTTTTTACCAGTATTTTATATCTAATTTCTACACAAAATTCTGTACATTTTAATCAGACTAGAGATTGTTGTGTTTTTACATCTGTTAAAGATTTATTTCATAGACATTTTATAGAAATATACAGAATTGAGTAGATTTTTGTTTTTATAGATGTTTTCCCGTATTTTTCTAGGAAAACTCCAGTTGTAAGGTGGTTGTGGGAATTGAAATATTTTAGACAATGTAGGTGAACAAAGGTTCGGTATTATTTTTCAGATCTACGTGAAGATTGTGATGTTTTGTCTATTCTATATTTTATACATCTTAACATTATATTTACTTATATCATATAAGAAATAAACATACTCATGCACTAAATCTAGCTTTTGTTGTTGTTACTTCATCTTTCCAAACATCATTGTTGATTTGAATATCCCACTGGACATCTAGCCGTTCTTTACAAGTTACTTCTTATTGTGTTTTCACCTGTTGCATGGTTATGACTTAAAACTTAACTATTAACAAGACAAGTATATATAAGTATTAACCTGCAACCTGCTGAGTTTCTGTAATCTGCCCTAGTGATGACTTTTTTGACCTCCAATATCTATCAAGGTGCAGACATGGGTATTGCACACAATACAACACATTGTCTGACATACACAAAATATTTTAACAATCCAAGTAATCCAGTTGTAAGATGTTCAACCACCTCAAGTTACAGATGTGGGTCTTACACACAACACATTGTCTGCTTATGGTGAAAATGTGTATCTACTTTTAAAAAAAAATCTAATCAAGAATGCAGAGTAACGGACTGGGCACAAACTCCAGCTGCACAAAAGGTGCCAAGTTCAATCCCTTGACGTGACCTTGACCCTGGATCTAGTGTGTGTTGCATCAACTTCTTACTGTGATAAAGTGTACCAGTTTACAGAAAGTATGGCCAGAACAGCACATTAGGCTGTTAAACAAATACACTTACCTTCGAGCTAGAGACCTGGGTATCGTCTACTTAAGAAATATCATTCTTAGCAGCTATTTAACATCAGCTTGGAGTTTTGATGCATATGAATTGACCCCCCAAGACCGCAGTCTATAGTGACAAAATCATGAGGAGTGTTAGAATTGTATATGTCTTATGTACCAATTTATTTTGAAATCCCATCATGCATGCAGAAGATGGACCAAACACAATCCACATATTCTCTCGAAGGCACACACACTGACAAAGGTAACAACACCCCGACCCATAAAAACAAATATTTGAGGTTCCCTCTATTCATCACTGCCTATCTCGAGTTGCTCTAATTAGTGAATTTTGGTTTCTATGAATGTTAAAAAAAATATATATTATAATATGTTTTAAAAATCCAAACTTTATTACAAATAAACTATCGTTTTAATTTGTAATTTACAAGTATTAACTGTAATTCTAAACTGCAATATATGTTTTTGCTGCAACTTCTGTATCAGATTTTACATTGCATGAACAAACTAAAACCCCTATCAGGACAGTGGAGAGGAGCAAATAATTTCCAGTTAATGACCTTAACCAACCACACAATACAGAGGGCTCTAAACGTATACTGTATTACAAGTTTAGCGGAACATAATAAATCAGTAAAAACAATTGTGCATCATTATTTATTTAACAAAATCAGTAATTTACATTTTCAATAAAAACTGTCAGAATATCTACAAGTAATTTTCTAACCACTGACAATATAATACAAACGTATAGTCCATTCAGAACATGCACTATAATCTTAGTAAATAAAAGATTATACATGTACAGTGTTGATCACATGCAAATTTTATTTAAAGTCACAAATATAAATAAGCCTTGTTGCCAAGTAACATCTTTAACATTTATTTTATGCTGCAGAATACTAGGACATAGCAGATCTAATGAATAAATCTGTTTCCCACTTCTTACATACAATAAAATCACAGCTAGGGATATATTATTTCTTAAATTTCAAATCCATAAAATATATATTTTATGGATTTAATTGATTTAATAAACACATTTTGACATGATTTAAAGTAAAAAAATTATTTGTGCCTGTAACTTGTGATGTATATATAAAATAATTTCCTATAGAAATATCTTATTCTTCTTATATACTGCAAAACAGCTTCAAAAGTAATTTTCTTGATGAAGTAAAACAAACATTTCAAGAGTTTTATCAAAACACTGTCTTTAATATGTGTCCCTAAAGTTATAGGACTATACTGTATTACATAATTAAATCTGAATAGAAGAACATGAACATGTTGTAATACAAACTTAATTTTACTAATTATATACAATATCATCAAATAACAAAAATATTCATGTATAAATACAATGAATGAATGGAGGTAACAACTAAAAATATTCACTCCAGTAACAAACATTATTAAATGAACAGAAATCTACAGAACAAATTCAGGATATTTGTTTCTACGAGTCTTGAACCATGATTATCAATATTTCAGTTACATACACCAACAAATACTCATAGAAATATTCTTTCATTCTTTACCTGCATGTATATCTCCTTCATGAATATTAATTAACCATAGGGTCATTATCATAATTACTGTCTGACCCTGGTAGCTGCAATATTTGCCCCATTTACAAGTGAATTTATTTTTTTAGGTTAAAAATGTATTTATATCAAAACTAATATAATATATTAAAATGTTTACTATAACCCGGGGTTTTTGAAAAAATTTATTTTACTGAAAGGCAAAATATTTCATTTTTTTTTTATTCAATCATAAAATTTTATATTTAAAACTTTTTTCATCTTTTTTAAGTTATAAGATATCCTAACAAAAAATTTAAAACGAACCCCCTACAGCGATAAAGAGAATAAGGTGGTAAATAGAAAAAACATGTAAAAATTTTAAAAATCAAAAATTAATTTTTATTCACTACTATCATATAATTAAATTTTTTTCAATTTTTTTTTTAAAATATCCAGCTTAACTAGCAGAAAACAAAAAACTCCTCTGTCATGAGTAAACCAAACATTCATTTCTGTCAATACTTCCCCAAAAAATTTTAAACCTTGCAGGGCCAACAAAATGGGGAGGCAGAATTAAAATCAACAACCTAAAACCCCTTTGGGCCCTACCCCTAAAATCATTAACATAAGAATTTAGCATTATGAAAAAACTCCATAGCAAAATACAAACAAAATTTTTAAAAAACAAAAAATTTAACTTTTAACAAGGTAACTCAACTTGAAAAAGGGGGGCAACTCTGAACAAAGATAAAATAAAACCCTTTTTTACTACATTTTAAATAGTATGCCCTCACAAAACAAACATTTTGTTAGTTGTGAATATGTCATTTTAAACCATTTATCACATACAAACTCTTTCCCCATCAAAATTGGTCAATTTCCTGTCAAATTTTATCTTTTTAAGTCATTCCTTATATACCTATTAAAATTTAAAAACCCCAAAGTGGGTCGGCCCCAAAATTTAAAAAAAATTTTGCTTCCAAACTCCACCTAATGATAGGTATGTATCACGAAACCTGAAATACAATCAATTAAATCATTTAATAAGGTTATGATATAAAAATTTGAGACCATTTCTTTTTTTTATTTGAACATACTATATAGAGGAGTAAAATGAAGCATTAAAGGTATTTAAAAAGAGGTCCATTATAGCACTGCATTCCTCATCAGAATTTTTGTTTGTAAAATATTAATTAACAGTTTTTATAAAGTAATCCTATGTTCAGTGATAACATATCCCATTTATTTAAATAAAGTTTAACTTTTCATTATCTTAAAGTTTTTTACAGACATTTTCTTCTTGCTACCCCTGGGTTGTTGTTGTTAGTCAATTGATACACATGATAGATATTCAGCTAAAATCGGACATTTGTCCAGACAATATTTGTCATACATATATACTCACCTTTTCCCAACTTTGGAGATATGTTTTTCATTATCTATACCTCCTTTCTCAAACTCTTCAAATATGTTTGCAGCCAACATCTACAAAAACAACATAGAAAATACCAATAACTTCTACCACAAATTATCTGGGCATTTGTTTATTTTGATAACTTTTTATTATAGCATAATTATACAAATATACATCAACGTCATATACATCATTTACATTTCTACATACATGTACATGTTGTATATACAAAAGATTTAGGCAATATGTTTTTTTTTTCCAAAACCCATTATCATAGGCCTTCCCCAGTGTGTTTATTAAGGTTTAGGACAAGTGATGTATATTAACATATTACATGTTCCTGGAATTGAAAATTCCACTTGTGTTTAGGAGTAAAATTTTTCAGGGCAAGTACAAAAAGAGCTGTCCTTTAGACAATGTGCCTGACTATTCTCAGTGCTTGACAGTAAGAAAAAGGGCATAATTCTGTAAAAAGGTAACTCAAGAGTTGTGGGACCTGTGATAATCACAGAGAACAAATGTGTGACATTTCAACCTAATCCATCCAGTAGTTTTGGAGATAACAACTTGCATACAAAACTTAACCGAAATGTGATCGTGATGCTGACACCAATTCCAGGGGAAGTACAATACCTCTCCCCTCTCTTAATATCAAGCTTAACTCGCTCGGAAAACTTAGCAGCTGCTCTGAAAATATTCCTTCCACCCTATATTGTACAACAAATGCAGTATTGCACTATTTACAGTTAACTAATGCAACATGGCATCATGTCATCAAACATAATTCATTTAGTGTAAAGCATATTAACTTCATTAATTAATAAAGGATATTAACTTCATTAATTAAGTAGAGTACTAAACAAGAACTGTCAGAGGACAGTATTGGCTCGACTATTCCAAAAGGTTGTCACAAGGGTGTATTATTGAGTATAATAATGCTAATTACCTATGAATACATAAAATTGACCGAAAAGGTATAAAGGCTTGTTATTAAGATGTTTTATTAAGTAAATCACTGCTTTATTATTATGAATGCATAAAATTGTCCCAAAAAAGGCACAAACCCTTCAGTAGTTATGGAGATAATAGCTTACAAGCAAAACTTTACCATGAATTTCTAAGTTGAAAAAGGGGAGAAAAATCAGCCTAAATGCAAGATAAAATTATGGATCTTAATAAGTGACCTACAATTATAACCCTAAATGCATATGTGAAGTTTTAAATAAATATCTTTAATATTTATTGAGATATGCTAGGCGGAGCATTATATGCCTAAAAGTGTTTATTTTTTAGTAAGGATGAAGCATTTGTAAGACATGGGAATAATGACCTTAATCTTGGACATTGTGACCCCAAAATCAATAGGGGTCTCCTACCTAATATGGACAATCATCCTAAGAAGTTTGAATATTGTGGGCCAAATGGAACTTTAGTTATGCTCCTGAAACTGTTTTCAATTTTAAGGTAATAGTGACCTTGACCTTTGAACTTGTGACCCAAAAATCAATAGGGGTCTTCTATCCAGTATGCACAATCATACTATGAAGCTTGAATATTGTTGGCCAACTGGAACTTAAGTTATGCTCTAAAACTGTTTTCAGTATTAAGGTAATAGTGACCTTGGCCTTTGACCGTGACCCCAAAATCAATCGGGGTCTCCAAGCAAACATGGAAAATATGGCTTAAAAAAAGACACACAAGTAAAAACGGAATGAATAGGATCAAGGAGAATTTACTGTTACCCATTGTTCTCTAAGTCACACAAGTACCTCTTGGTTCATACCAACAGACAGATGGACGCAAGGGGGTATAACATAATATGCCCTTTCGTGCATATAAAAAGGGGAGATGAATCAGCCTAATTGCAAGGTAGAGTTATGGAACTTGGTCAGTGACATCAATAATGACCCTCCAATTATGACTCTAAGTACATGTGTTAAGTTTCAAGTAAATATCTTTGAAGACCTTTAACCTTTAACCAAAATTTCTAAGTTTCAAAGGGGCAAATAATTCTGCAAATATTGCAGGCAGAGTTATGTAATTTTGCAAACTGATGCACATTGTTACTATAAAAAAGTATTGTAAATTTCAATTGAATATCTCAAGCAATAATTGAGATATTTGACTTTACAAAAAACTTTAACCAAAATTTCTAAATTAAAAAGGGGCATAATTCTGTCAATATTGTAGGCAGAGTTATCCAACTTGTCAATCTGATGAATCTTGTTACTATAAATAAGTATTGAAAGTTTCAATTGAATATCTCAAGCAATATTTGAGATATCTGACTTTACAAAAAACTTTGACCAACGCAGATGTTGACGCGGACGCAAGGCGATGACAATAGCTCTCATATTCTTTGAAAAGTCGAGCTAAAAAGGTAACAACACTACACCGCCTAACAAGTTAAAGTACTTTATTCATGTCAACTTGTTTTGTGTATAACTGTAAACTTAGTTTAAATCTTGTATTGGTGAAAGGATTGACCTTCAAGTAACGACAATTTGTCAGACTCTTACCTCTGACCAGATGTTCTGGTAATAGGCAGCTGCATGTGATCGACCGATCCAGAGTACCGGGTCTGAGCACCAGATCCAATCCTCATTGTGAATTTCTAACGGCATAAACAAATTATACATCTCCTTCTGTACATCCTTATGGAACTTCTCTGGCCTAAATACATGTAATAATAAATTATACATCTCTGTCCTAAATACATGTAATAATAAATTATACATCTCTGTCCTAAATACATGTAATACTAAATTATACATTTCTGTCCTAAATATATGTAATAATACATTATACATCTCTGGCCTAAATACATGTAATAATAAATTTTACATCTCTGTCCTAAATACATGTAATAATACATTATACATCTCTGTCCTTAATACATGTAATAATAAATTATACATCTCTGTCCTTAATACATGTAATAATAATTATACAAACGGGCACATTACTGTTGGATTACTATAAGTTTTTATCTTGATATCCTCTATATTATGGATTAACCTGAACAAGTCCATTTACAACAAGCAGGGGGTTATGGGTTAATTAACTAATTAATGAGCAGCAATAAAGAAGACTGTCAACAGATGGTCAGATCAACTTAAACAAAATTACAATCACATTGTCACAGTAGGTTATTATTAATTTCTATTAATTAGACCCACACAGAATATTCAGTTACTTACTGTAAATGACTTTCTAAATCAAAGGCACTTCTGTATAATTCATGACAGAAGTCATATGAAACCAGAAGATTTTGACCTGAAAATACAAAAAACATGCTTATTATTGTATGATTTAACTACATAATTACTGTATGATTTAACTACAAGATTATATAAGACTTTTTGCCTGCTAGCAGCAACTTATTCTTCCCATGCCATCACTGTAGACAAAAATCAGCCAGCATTTCCATAAAATATTTTTCCCTAACAAGAGCCACCGCCGGGCGGGGGCAACGCTCGACTTTTTACTTTTTCTAAACGCAAACATAGAAAGGTTTGAACATATATTGATGTTTCCTTTTTATAAATTTAGTTGGTCTGTCTTGTCACATTAGTTTTGTTTATATATTTTGTATATATATGAATAGAAACATTAAGCATATTTCTAAAAATAGCAACAGTACGCAATTTCTAAAAATAGCAACAATGACGCAATTTCTAAAAATAGCAACAATGACGCAATTTCTAAAAATAGAAAAAATGACGCAATTTCTAAAAATAGAAAAAAATGACGCAATTTCTAAAAATAGAAACAATGACGCAATTTCTAAAAATAGAAAAAAAATGACGCAATTTCTAAAAATAGAAACAATGACGCAATTTCTAAAAATAGAAAAAAATGACGCAATTACTAAAAATAGCAACAATGACGCAATTTCTAAAAATAGAAAAAATGACGCAATTTCTAAAAATAGAAAAAAATGACGCAATTACTAAAAATAGCAACAATGACGCAATTTCTAAAAATAGAAAAAAATGACGCAATTTCCAAAAATAGAACAAAAATGACGCAATTTCTATAAATAGCAACAATGACACAATTTCTAAAAATAGAAAAAATGACGCAATTTCTAAAAATAGGAAAAAATGACGCAAATTCTAAAAATAGCAACAATGACGCAATTTCTAAAAATAGAAAAACATGACGCAATTTCTAAAAATAGAAAAAATGACGCAATTTCTAAAAATAGAAAAACATGACGCAATTTCTAAAAATGGAAAAAAAATGAAGCAATTTCTAAAAATAGAAAAAAATGACGCATTCTAAAAATAGAAAAAAAATGAGGCAATTTCTAAAAATAGAAACAATGACGCAATTTCTAAAAATAGAAACAATGACGCAATTTCTAAAAATAGAACAAAAATGACGAAATTTCTAAAAATAGAAAAAAATGACGCAATTTTTAAAAATAGCAACAATGACGCAATTTCTAAAAATAGAAAAAATGACGCAATTTCTAAAAATAGAAAAACATGACGCAATTATATACATGTATATATAAAATATATTATATGCATGTATATATATATATATATATACATGCATATATATATTTATTTATATATATATATATATATATATATATATATACCTGCATATATGTATATATATACACACACACATTTATATATATATTTATATATAATACATATACTATACATACACACACACCGATAAATGCACAATCTGAGAAAATTCAGTAATATAACCTTCAAGGTCAAGGTCATTAAAGAGCCCAAGCAAATTTGGGTTTGATAAACAACAAGGTCTGGTCCTTAAGAATGTTCTGTTATAATATGAAGTTTATCCCTTCAAAAATAGCAAAGTTACAGTCAGTTACTGCCAAAACAATGAAAATTTCAATAATTTGACCTTCAAAGGCAATGTCATTAATGAGTGAAGGTCAAGGTCTTTCGGTATATTTTTTAACAGTTATCTTTGAAGATTATTATGTTCAAGTTTGAAAACAATCCATTCAAAAATAACAAAGTTACAGCCAATAATAGCCAAAAAAATGAAAATTTCAATAATTTTACCTTCAAAGTCAAGGTCATTGATGAGTGAATGTCAAGGTCTGACTGGTTATTTTTAGGGGATATCCTTGAAGATTATTATGTTCAAGTTTGAAGACAATCCATTCAAAAATAACAAAGAAACAGCCAATAACAGCATGAACAAGCAAAAATTGGACTTTTAACCTTGAAGGTCAAGGTCATTTATGGATGAAGGTCAAGGTTAGTGTGGTCTACTGAAAGGTCTTGTCCCAAGGGTTGTTGTGGCCAAGTATGAAGACAATACACCAAGAAATAAAAAAGTTATGATCCAGGTACAAGTTTTCGGACGGCAACGGCAACGGCAACGGAGACGGCAACGGCAACGCCGACCTGACTATAACAAAAGTCGAGCTAAAAAGGATGAATGGTTTTGTCAAGATTAAAAGATGGTTATGTCCATTAAAGACATTTAGCTAAAGAAAGGGTTAAAATATTGAAATGTGCTCGTACATCTGGTAATCAAGTTTTCAAAGAAAATCTGGAAACAAAGTGATCCCTCGGAAGCATTAATCACAACAAAATTACAAGAGAATTGCAGACTCAGTTTGATTGAGTCTGTACATGAGGGATAATGAATACGTGTAACATCCCTAACGCCCCCTAGCACCGGCTTGAGTGGTACTCAATTCTCAACACTTAATAATGCTGGCACCAATGATCCCAAAGGACCAGAAAAATATAACAACACTGAAAGTTTAAAACATTTCTATCAGTGGTTCAAAACAAATAGCTTGGACAAAAAACTGGACGAAATTGACCTACAGAAAACAAGCATTCCTGTTAAGAAGTGTAATCATGCTTAAACAAACAAAATGTTAAAGTCTACAATCATGGACATGAAGAATTGTTCTTTGGGGGGAAAAACACAACTGTAAATGGACTTAGTACACAAATGATATTAAAGCTTATTGTAACAGATCTTTCCCTGCTATAAAGATCAAAAAATGTTTCATTCAGTGAATCGTGTTACCCGAATTAAAATTATAAGAAAACAAACTAACATTGTATAAGTCTGGATATTTCATCCTCTGTAAGTTTTTGTTTGGTCTGGTAGTGTTCACTCATCTCGTGTATAACATGTGGCTGCATGGCAAACATCTTCATCACATAACTACATACATGTACAGCATCTACCTCAATGTTCCTCTGTCCTGACACCTCACTGTACTTACATGTTGTCAACATCTGTTGTAGTGTATTGCCAAACTGTAAATAATAATATGTGTCTTTCATTTTCATTGTATATGTTGTATATATTGTATATGTTTTTCCATAACCCTTAAAGGATGGCTAAAAATGTAATTTTGACATCTTGATCTTTGCGCTACTGATCTAAATACTGCATGTGACACATTGTTACAAGATGGTGAATATTTTTTCCATGATTAAAATAAATCATGAAAGAATAACAAAAATATAATAAGGACACAATTTCGGATGTATGTACGTACCATTCTACAAAAAACAAATTCTTTGTTCAACACAGGGCCATGACAGACTCCTCATCCTTTTGACATTGAATGAATATATAGTGTTCTTTTTACCATCACCTAAACCTAATCTAATTGCTCAGGCAACTGGACAAATGAAACCTATTTTCTGGAAATGAAAAAGAGAGTAAAAACTCTGACAAAATCCACTTATACACAATCATTTACTGCCCACTTGTAAATGACTGATATACTGATATAATGTGACAAATTATATAGCAATATTATAGTATATTAACTGGTACCTCATAAAACATTGTTAAAACTTCTCTGAAAGACATCAAAGTTGGCACTCCAGGAAATGTGATTTTATTCAAGGTCAGAAGTAGAACTGATATTGGTGTAACATTCACTATTTCACTGCGATCTAAAAAAAGACAAAAACTTTTTATAACTGTTTACATTCAAAATTTTGTTAGCAAGAAATGACACATATTCATTACTCATTCTCTTCTATTACAATTAATATATGTTCTATACAGAGTTTTAAGTTACCATGTCATAAAGTAACTTTCAAATATCAGTTTTGGGAGAATACCTAGAGTGCAATATCTAGAACGCACATTCGCGTTTTTTTCCTCGCGCATGAACGAAACAGGCAAAAGTTGTACATGTATAAGGTTAAACTATCTGTGATTTTTTAATTCTTATAGCCAATTAATATATCGCAATCGCCTCGGTCAATATGTCATCTGCTGTTGAATATCACATCATATACAATGGCACACTAGTCAATAATTGTATAATGATTAACAAACATAACTCAAACACTGATTAACATTACCTCTACAAATTTCATTAGAGTTTGTTCTGATTTTACTCTCCCTTCTGGCATAAGGATCAATGTAGAATCTAGATATATATGACCCTGAAAATACATGTTATATATTTTACATGTTATGATAAAATCACAAATATATAAACTGCTCATCTACATGTTTCAGACCCACTGCCAAGGTAAAGAAACCAAACATATTAGAACAACTAATTCTTTGGCTCAGTGATCTAGATTACAGTTTTTTTTAGTTGAGTTTGAATGATAGAATCCCATGTAGATTCTATTTTTATATTGCAATGTCACAAATTAAAAATGTTTGTCACGTTAACATTGTGGATATTTCAAATGAAAGAGAAAATATGAACTTTGTATTGATGATTTTTGTATTTCACACTAGAGGAATCTTACCATCTGTGTTATAGACATCAAATACAATGACATCATTATTCCAGGTATCTACAGATCCTGGATGGACTCTCTGAAATGTAACATCATAATGATATTATCATAAATTATAAATACTAGCATAAAGCTAGAGAATACATCAAACAAAGTTTTCATTTATTCTATACTTTCTGCTGCCACGTTTACAATTTTTTTCTTTCGAAAGATCGAAGGAAAATCAACTTTACCAAAAAAGTATTTAGTCATGAGCGAATATTGCATGGTGATGCTGCGTACAGTGTTGTAAACACCCTTATTCTGGTCCTCTGACTATGTCCATTGACCAATCTGAACATTGCTATGGTAATTTAAATTTCAATGGTAAAATATACCGTAAACATTTATAAATGAAAATCAGAACAAATATGTTTAAATGTGTAACTGTGAGGGCCTTAGTTATGGAAATTGAATTATGACCTTGAAGACACACGTGGAGTTTTAAGTAAATACATTTATGTTGTCTCCATTTTTATGTAGATATAGTGGTAATAGAAATAAAATACTTAAGTTCAAACTTTGACGGTGACCTAAAACATGTTTCATGTGACTACCTTCAGTAATTAGAATATGATTTTCATTTACAGTTGTTAAACCCTTAAAGACATATACCATGTGTATGTATAAACACTTAATTTTCATGAAAAATTATTAATCAAAAACAAATTATTTATCAAATCAAAAGCTTTTCAATGAATGTGGCAATATTCTGTTATGAGTTTTTTTTACATAGAGTTTGTAAAATTCGAATATCTGCCATATTGCTTTGCATCAATAATGTATGAACAATAAATCTTTTATTGATTGATAATGGAAAACCCATAGACTTATTTGCGTCAACTTAATATGGCATCAAACAGCCCTAGATCTGCAAATAAAACAAAATCAATTGGTCACAAATATGTGTTTGTATTTTTTTTATTAAAGACAATATAATATGTTACCTGAAATTTGATTTGGAAGAGTTTTTCACTGAGGTTTAACATGGTAGTTATAACATTCTCCATTGAAAAATATCCTTGTCTGTCTATCTTTGTTACTCTGTAAATCAAAATCATGTTAATTAAAAGACAGGGGCAATAACTCTATTTTATAGATAATTTAAAAGTCAGCAATAATTACTTTTGGCACCATCTTTTCAATGGAATACATGTCAACTGCAGCAGTGGTGTAGTGCCAGGGATATTTGCCTCTCAAACCAGGAGTAGTGGGTTTTAGACTTACTTGGGTAATGACAATAATTTCTTCTTATAACATCCATACTGGTTAATTCCAGGTTGAGGACTTGAAAGTGGTTAATATGACCATCAAGATTTCTCTACACTAAAACTACAATAAATCTACAAGGGGAGCCTCTTTTCTATTTTAATATACAGACTCAATTTAACTACCAGTATATGTAAAGCACCTGCTTTATTTATGCCAGTAGTACACCACAATAAAGATGTTTCTCCCATTTCATCAACATTTGCTTTAATTTCAAACCTGAAGATTATTGCAACACTAAACCGACAATAATACACCCAACCTCAGAATACAATATTGTAATTATATGTCTGTAATTATATGTCATATACCTTTGGACATAACCATTCTTCAAGTATCATAAAAACATTGTGGTTACATAGCTGCCACTTTCACCTTTGACCAACAAAACAAGATTTCTGTTGGTAATTCTTATTCACTTAGTTTGGCAGTGCATTTACTATCTGTTGCATTTAAGTTTATTCACTTTATAACCATTAAAGCATCATGTAGAACAGACTTACTTGTACAGTGCATCAGCCTGCAACCTTCTATAGAATGGAATATCCCACTGTTTAAGGTCTACCTTCATACCCTTGTCTTTAGCAAACTCCTGTAAAGCTTGTAAATCATCCCTTGCTTTTGGCAGGAAGGCATTTCTGCAGCTACAAGTAAAATAATAAAATAATGAAGTTAATCTTCTAATTCCTAGTGGTAATATAGCCTAACTTAGGCCACCAGTCTAGTGCCAGGCCACCAGTATAATAATGCCTAACTTAGACCACCAGTCTAGTGCCAGGCCACCAGTATAGAACTAGGTTTTATGGCGCAAAAACACAGTATAGGTCATATGGCGCTAAAACAGGAAAGATAATTATAGCAAACCTTGGGTGTTACAAAATTATAGATCAAGACCACCATTTTAGAACCAGGTCACAAGTTTAGAACCAGGTCACAAGTTTAGAGCCAGGCCCGAGTATTGTCAGACCACCATCTACAGTCACGTCATCAATATAGAGCCACGCCCCAAGGGTTGATGTGAACAAGTATGAAGATAATACAGCAACAACTTAAATGTTATGATCAAGGTACAAGTTTGCGGATGGCCACATCGACATGACTATTAAAATACCTCTATTTTTTATTACTTATTTAAAAGGTCGAGCTAAAATGATAAAAGTGGGTGCATTGAATTAAATTAAAATCAACTTACACATCTAACATATTAAAAACTGTTTTCACATTTCCAGCCATCAAAGTTTGCACTGACATCTCAGCAAAATTCTTATACCCTAGAGTTGTTGCGATATCACCCCTATGAAAAATCAAGAAAATAAATGATGACTCTCAAATAAACTTAATATACATCACATTAGGTTTTTCATCTCAAATTCACTTCAATAAAGTTCACTCTAGATTAAAGTCCTCTCAATACTTTGTAACATTAATCTATCATATGTTCTGTTAATATATCAGGCAAGAGAAAAACACCTGAAATGAACCATTAAACTAACTTAAGCCAGTTGAGCTGTATAACTATATAACATGTAATTACAGAAGAAACATCACTTTAACAACCTTAGCCTCATTAAACAATAATAACCCAATGTTAATTTCCATTGACCATCTGTGTACATGTTCATGCAATACTATATTATAATTCCAAATGGCAGTCATATGATTTGAGTATTTATAAACATAAAAGAACAATGATAATAAAGACCTGCACTGCCGTATCTCATTAATAACTTCATAAGTATGCAGTCTGATATCTGTTGTTAGATTTGTTCCTACTGTATGGAACGAGTTCCACACTTTATAACGATAGTCTCTACGCGGACACATCTCCAAAAAACTTTCGTACACATACGATAGCAAGCTAACTTTCCACGGCCCTTTGTCTGGCTGTGTCCTGAAATCATAATATCCATATTAAAATCTATGCTTCAAAATCAAGTAAACAGTATTCAATATAGATATAATTCTTCAACTTTCTTCTTTAATTCTGATGCTAATTATTTGAATCCTAACTCTAATAATGATATTTATGCTATAATTACAGCTAAGATATAGATATCATAATGTCAAGGACATCCCAAAAGAATAAAGTCATAATCAAACAATTAATCAGTTAATTTCAACTATTCCAAAATGTCTGTAGGGGGACATGCATCATGGCACAAATGCCTTTACTGCTACACTGCCCTTGTAACTTTTAACATGTAGAACAGGTACCGGAGTAGAACCACTGATGTTCCGTAAGCTAGCTGGATAGCTTTTTCACATGAAAGAAATTCAAAGAATTCAAAGTCCCTGGAAGGACACAAACTCACAGAGGAGAGGGGCAAATGATTTCATGACAATGACTTTAATCACTCAGCCAGACACCCACAAGGCTAGTGTATAATATTATTACCAAATATATAAAAAATAAAAACATACTTATCTACAGCTATTGAGAGTCTCACATGTTGTGGTAACTGTTTGGCAAGATCCCACATTCCTGGTCCAAGCTCCAAGGCAAACAACGATTTGTGATAGATTGACTTCTCCCTGTATAAAATAATAAATAATAATAAAATAATGTGCTATTTATATAATAATATACTTTTTAAATATATACAACCCCAATTTATTTCTGTTAACTTGATGTCCAAAGAATAATCTTGGGTCTTCTGAAACATTTCATGCCCATAGAATAATTTGATGTCTGACAAGTAATTTGATGTCTTGTGAAACATTTCATGCCTATAAAATAATTTGATGTCTAGAGAGTAATATGGTGTCATGTAAAACATATAGAATAATGAAATGGCTATGATGACAATTTCTTACAGAAATTCCTCCTCTTTTTGACTGATTATCTTGTAGCATTCCATCAATAGTGCTTCTCCCTTCTCATCAGATTCGGCACCGGCAAGTCGGCACTCACGCATATACATGTCAAGTAATCGCTGCTCTTCAGCACTTAATTTGTCTCGTTTAGCATTGATCTCCTGAAAAAAAATCCAATATACATATAACTGAAAAATAGGCAAATGTCTACACTATGTCATTATTTAGTATTACATGTTACTGTATGCAATGTAGAAATCTGTAGTTGGGTAATTATTTTGAATTCTGCAGATCATATTTTATTGTATTTACATCAACCATTAAATTTCATGGCAAGGTTTACCCAGCTTTAATGCTATATAAAGACACTAGTTCACTATATTTACTGAAATATGCGGGCACCTTGCTAGAATTAACTGAATTTAATGTGTAGGCCAATTTGAACTAACTACAATGAAAGGCAAACAAAACATGAATTATTTCACAATAAAGAGTATTTTGTTATCCTGACTTCTTACTTGTAACAGTATATTGTATCTTTAAACCAATATAAAATCTATCTATATGAAACCTAGCCATTATAAATAGATATTTAAGGAAATAAGATGGGTAAAAAAACTAACTACATTTGATACAGTCAATTATGACATACCCACCTTGAGAATTTGATATAATTCTTTGTTGACAAATCTTTGATTCCTTGATCTTTCAGCTTGACTGGAAACCTGAAAATAAAATAAAAAAAAATTATAGAACAATATAAGGTATAACATTACACAAATGATATCATTTATTAGTTAGTAATGGTATAAATAGAAATCATAGATAAGTTAAAACCTCATTAACTTATTATTCTCTGCAAACTTAAGTCAAACTCATACTTTTGTTCTTGTAAAGTTATGGCTGGATCTAGATATTTATTTTGATGGACAGAATGACAGACAGATGGTTGTGCAACCGAGATAGAGTATTGATGCCCCCTCCCCTATTTACTTTGAATTTACTTACTGTTAGATGTTCCCCCTCCCCCTATTTACTTTGAATTAACTTACTGTTAGATTCCCTCTCCACTATTTACTTTGAATTAACTTACTGTTAGATGCCCCCCCTACCCCTACTTACTTTGAATTAACTTACTGTTAGATGCCCCCCTCCCCTATTTACTTTGAATTACTTACTGTTCGATGTCCTCCCTTCCCCTATTTACTTTGAATTAACTTACTGTTAGATGCCCCCCTCCACTATTTACTTTGAATTAACTTACTGTTAGAACCCCCCCCTCCACTATTTACTTTGAATTAACTTACTGTTTGATTCCCCCTCCACTATTTACTTTGAATTAACTTACTGTTAGATCCCCCCTCCACTATTTACTTTGAATTAACTTACTGTTTGATCCCCCCCTCCACTATTTTACTTTGAATTAACTTACTGTTAGATGCCCCCCTCCACTATTTACTTTGAATTAACTTACTGTTTGATCCCCCCTCCACTATTTACTTTGAATTAACTTACTGTTAGATGCCCCCCTCCACTATTTACTTTGAATTAACTTACTGTTAGATTCCCCCTCCACTATTTACTTTGAATTAACTTACTGTTAGATGCCCCCTCCACTATTTACTTTGAAGTTTCAGTAGTGTCAGTAGTCCTGACAGAAAGATGACAAAAATTAAATGACATGTATAATCTTCAATTTGTCATCTATCCATATATAAAGTTATCCATATATACAGTTATCCACATATAAAGTTATCCATATATAAAGTTATCAACATATAAAGTTATCCACATATTAAGTTATCTACATTTAAAGTTATCCACATATAAAGTTATCCATATATAAAGTTATCCACATATAAAGTTATCCACATATAAAGTTATCCATATATAAAGTATCATTAACATAGCTTTTGTTCTTGACCCAATCATAGTTTTTTTGGACAGATAAACAAAGGGTAATTCTCCAGTCCCCTCTGGTAAAATTGGTGGGAACTATCACATTAGATTCTAAGAAATACTTACTCTATCAAACATATTCTTCGTATATTTCACTAGATTAACCAGGCGCAGAATATTTGCCTGATTTTCAGCATACTGGAGTGGTATGATAATTCTTTCCACGAAATTGAATAACTGCTTAAATGATACTTCTTTCTTTGAAACTGAAAAATTAATAGTTCAAAATATATCCAGCTCACATTTACTAGTTTAACAAAAACATAACCATACAGTGAGACATTTTGACAAAACATATACCATACAGGATCATTTAATGGTACATGCTACAAATCCATGGAATTTGGCACTTACTATACATGTACATAAACAAAGTCAATGCTGAAGACAACTTTTACTTTACTTTTAAGCTTGATGATGTAAAACAATGTGTGTTCTATATTGTAGTAAATGTAGCCACTATAAGATGTAGTCTTCCTTTATTTAATTAAATGATTTGAACCAATTAATTTTAATGCTTTGATTTTAATCATGAAACAATTAAATCAAAATACAAACTCACCAATAACTTCATCAACATATTTGTCCAACTTTGAATCAAATTCTTGTGACAATTTAGCACAACCACTGACAATGTTTGAAGGATTTAGTTCAGTAAATTTTGGAAATTCTTCCAGTCTCATAATAGGGTTAGTTTCCGCTGTGTCTTTAGGAACCTCTGGTATGCTGTAATTTATTACGATTATCGTAAATATAAATATGACAAACAATTAAATACCGTATATACATATTCATGTACTTGTTCTTTTATCTTAATTTTACTGTCTTTTAATAGGAAATATAACTTCTAAATCAATAATCTATGACCACCATGGTTAAGGGCTATAAAAAAACAGTGTATTTAAATGGGATCAAAGCTTTATGCACCTCTTCCGTTATCAATCAGATCACCTCAACAATTTTGCTTAAAAGTTGCTAATGTTCTGTTAATTGGAATACCAGTTTATCATTGAGTAACATAACAAATGGTGGCTCCAAATTAGAAATGACACTGAAAACTTCAATGATGAGTATAGAAATTTATATATTTTCTTTAGTTTTTATTTGATTTTCTTTTATGTGTAGTCTATAGCCAAGCGTATAATATGCGGAAGTTGAAGGCCAGGACCACAAGGCAGGCCCGGGCTTTGGCTTGCCCGGCTACAGACTACACATGTATATTTAAAAGGAAATCAAATAAAACTAAAAAATGTCCAGAGGACACGGGTGCCCCCACACTCCACCTATTTGTCAATCTTATGTCTCTAGGTCAATTTTTTTTTTGGCTACATGTTGAAACCTAAAAATCTTTTATCAAGTGAAGGGCAAATACTACAAATACTGAATAAATCCACATGAAACCCCAAGGTACATAAGTACACATGCTGACCAACATTCTTGTAAACTTTCAGGCATACAGGTCATAAACTTTTTTGAGTGACATGCAACACAAGTTAATAATTGTAAATTTTTACTAAGTCAAGGACAATAACTCTTAAAATACTAAAAAATATCCACACGAAAATACCCAGGTGCACAACTACACATGCTGAGCAACATTCCTGTAAGGTTTCATGACTCTAGGTCAAATACTTTTTTAGTTACATGCGACACAAGTTGAAAATTGGAAATTTTTACTAATTCAAGGGCAATAACTCTAAAAATACTAAATATATCCACATGAAAATACCCAGGTGCACAACTTCACATGCTGATCAACATTCCTGTAAGGTTTCATGACTCTAGGTCAAATATTTTTTGAGTTACGTGCGACACAAGTTGAAAATTGGAAATTTTTACTAAGTCAAGGGCAATAACTCTAAAAATACTAAAAATTTCCACACGAAAATACCCAGGTGCACAACTACACATGCTCAGCAACATTCTTGTAAGGTTTCATGACTCTAGGTCAAATACTTTTTTAGATATGTGTGACACATGTTGAAAATTGGAAATTTTTACTAAGTCAAGGGCAATAACTCTAAAAATACTAAATATATCCATACAAAAATACCCAGGTGCACAACTACACATGCTGATCAATATTCCAGTAGGGTTTCATGACTCTAGGTCAAATATTTTTTGAGTTACGTGCGACACAAGTTGAAAATTGCAAAGTTTTACCAAGTCAAAGGCAATAACTCTAAAAATACTAAATATATCTACATGAAAATACCCAGGTGCACAACTACACATGCTGATCAACATTCCTGTAAGGTTTCATGACAGTCTAGGTCAATTACTTTTTGAGCTACGTGCGACACAAAAAGGGAAAGGACGGACGGAAGGACGGACAAGGGTAAATCTAAATGCCCCCCCTATAGTGGGGGCACAGAAAAAAAAAAACAATTAAAAAATATATAGAATTGTATACCAATCAATGAAATTTTCAGTGTCAGTTCTAGTCGGGCGCCGCCATTTTCAATGTAACTCAATGATAATAGGCTGAGTATTCTGGTAACGAAAAATCACAACATTTCGGATTAATAATAATCGTTGAGTATTCCGAGTAAAACTGAAGCAGTGCATGAAATACCAAATGACACCTTTAAATTAATTATTTTTTTAACCGACTTCCCCATTCATGACTTTGCCTAATTTCTCATTATACTATGACATGATGTGGATGCTGAAGACAGACCCTTAGGGAAAGTCTACCAATAATCATGCCAGGAATCTGACACGCTCGTATTCATTTGTCGAGCATGCCATGAAGTAAAGTGAAGCATACCTTGAAACTATGTATAATCTGTTGATAAGCCAAGGATGGACACATAAAAAACTTATTACGAACATAAACTACCTTATAGTTTCAGACAGGTAAAAAATCAGCACTTGGCCTCCATATTGCTCAATTGTTTGTCCATGCAATTACAATATTGACCTTTACGGGTTAATTTCCCATGACGGTTAAGAAAACAGAACCCATGTGCTTCCAACTTTTTTTATAAATGACTTTTTTAAAGATACTGAAAAAGGTGATTTACTGACTTTGTATTCAATATAATTTTATTAGAGTACTAAAAATTAAAGAAAATAAATAAAACAAGAGGGCCATGATGGCCCTAGATCGCTCACCTGATTTATCAAACTCATCCAAACAATTACCTAGACAAGCATTCTGACCAAGTCTCATGACAGGTGAGTCAAAAATGTGACCACTACAGTGTTAACAAGGATTATCCATATTTGAGCAGTGCGACCTAGTTTTTTACCCAGGTGACACATATTCAAACTTGACCTAGAAATCATCAAAACAAACTTTTAGACCAATTTCAAGGATACTTGGATCAAAACAGTAGCAACTAGAGTGTTAACAAGATTTTTCTATTTTTAGCTCCGGTGACCTAGTTCCACATGCGATTTCGAACTCATCCAAGCAATTACCTATACAAGCATCCTGACCAAGTTTGATGATAACTGAGTCGAAAATGTGACCACTAGAATGTTAACAAGGTTTTTCCATATTTGGGCGGTGTGACCTAGTTTTTTTCATCCAAGATGACCAATGTACGAACTTGACTTAGAAATCATCAAAACAAACTTTCAGACCAATTAACAGAATATTTGGATCACAACAGTAGCCACTAGAGTGTTAACAAGATTTTTCTATTTTTAGCTCCAGTGACCTACTTTTTCATCCGAGATGACCCATGTTCAATTTCTTCCCAGCAATGACCTAGACAAGTTTCCTGACCAAGTTTGATGACAATTGAGTCAAAATTGTGACCACTAGAGTGTTAACAAGGTTTTTCTATTTTTAGCTCCGGTGACCTACTTTTTCATCCGAGATGACCCATGTTCACACTCATCCGAGCTATCACCTAGATAAGCATCCTGACCAAGTTTGATGATGATTGATGCAAAAATGTGACCTCTAGAGTGTTAACAAGGTTTTTTTATTTTTAGCTCTTGTGACCTAGTTTCTCATCCAAGATGACCCATGTTCGAACTCATCTGAGCTATCAACTAGATAAGCATCCTGACCAAGTTTGATGATGATTGAGGCAAAAATGTGACCGCTAGAGTGTTAACAACTAAATGTGGACGGACGACGGACGGACGGACGACGGACGACGGACAATCATCGATCCTAAAAGCTCACCCTGAGCATGCTCAGGTGAGCTAAAAACAGTATCTTGAATTATGAGTATTGAAATCATGTCAACAAAGATGTTCTAAATATAGTACATGACTCTACGTCACTTCAAGTTCCCAGCGAAATACATCATACAAGGTCTCGGACAGCTCCTTAATGTCATGGCCGACTGTACTCGCGTAATTGATGTTTCACAATTAAATAGGCAATATTAATGACAGTATTAATATTTTGATACTTTATTGGTATATAACAATATTAAAATAATTGTTTTATCGCAAAATGAACAATTAATTGGGACACAGGTATTTGCAAATGAAAAATAAGGTTAAATCAATCGTATGTTTTTCGGGCAAGGTTTTCATAATGGGTCTAATCCAAAACTTTAATGCTGCATTAGATGAAAAACAAAATTGTTAAAAGGCAGCTTATAATGTTTTGGAAGCCAGAGTTCTAATTTTGCCTTAAATAATAAGTCAGACTAAAAGAATAATACCCGGAAAGCCCGAGCAGGGCCACATGATATAAATATTTTGTTGACATTTGAGTAAATATTGCCGATTTATTATTATACAATGCTTTGATTTAAAATATCAGCGGTTGTTAAAGGTATAATTTTGTAATGAAATTGCTAAACTAGTTTGTTGAAATTGATTTTCCATGTGTGTCATTAGATAAAATGTGTAATGAGTGTGCAAAAGGCACTGCATTCCTTGTGTTTATTTATAGCGAGCTTGACGAGCTGGCCCGAAGGACCTGCTCGCAAAGCGAGCTTTACGGTAACGCGGGTACCTGCTAAGTGATGGTTTTGAAAATTATTTCGTCCGAAGTACTGAATACACCCATAAACACTTTTCATATGAACTAGGTAAATAACCGAGGTATATCGAGTGAAAAAATACAAGTTGTTTCCCTTATCTTCGAGTAAAATTGGTATCTCATACGCTAAAACAATACAAATTAAGCCATTTTTAAACCGCTAGTTTGTTGTGATTAAATGTCCGATTTTAAAAATTATTACATCAATGGAAAGCTTGGGATCTTAGCTTTGTCACAGTATATAATTTTACTTATCTTTTGACACCAAAGTATTTAAATTAACTGTTAAACCTACCATATGTCAGCCCATTTTACATACGATTTATAAAGTGAGATTACCAATTGGTTATCTTTACTCGAAAACCTACTGATAAGAAAAGCCTGTCGTCTGCTAGTTGGGGAAAGTGTTTATCGGTGTATTGGACACATCGCAACTTTTCGAATTACAAGATAATGATAAAAGCTGATGTACTCTGATTGAAAACGGAAGCGTAGACTGGTGTCCTGCGCACTTATAACAGAACCATAATAGAAAGGGGGAACCAGAATAAACGGAAGCAGTGTACTAAATATCGAATGACAATTTTAAAACGGAAAATGTAAAATAAAAATGAAGGATTATTTTTTTAAAACTATCTTACGGTAAAAGAAAATCGAGCTCGCTTTGAGGCTTTGCCTTTTTTCAAATTAGTATAAAAGGGGTACATTTGCCGTTATTTTTTAATTATTTGCTTATATTTTTCAATTATTGATAGAATGTCAACGATGTCTCCTGTGGTAGCACCTAATTTCATATTATCACTTAATTGCATCAGGAATATGCTTTAACCTAAAAATATTCATATCTGAACATGATATAATTAGCAATCCATCAAATCATGCATTAACAAGATAAAATATCTCTAAAATCTTCCTTTAAAGTTGTTGACATTTTTCAAAGTCAAACTGTCGCCATGGTCCAGCATAAATGGCGTCTATTCTTTAAGTAAACTGAGAAATCAGGTATTTTTCTTACAAAATGAAATAGGCTCCTGTGGAAGAATTTTTTCTGTCGCCAAACTGACGAATAAAAGTTTTTCTGAAGCAAAATCTCTTGAGATTTTGCAAAGATCTGCGGCAAACCATGGACGCCGCCATGTTTGATTATACAACCTAGCAAGGTAACTGAAGGAATCCGAATATATTAGATTCAGGCCCCATCTGTGAATTATCATCAAAAGCCAGGGTCCAGACCAGGAAGTTTTCGTCCGTGACGTCATGGGTGGGGATCAGAGCCAAAATGGCGGACGTCTTCATGTGTTGTGTTTCTGATCAGGAAAAGACTGCAAGAATTCGGAGTAAAGAAATTGATGATCGGATTAGAAAAGAAAAGATTCAGTTTAGGAGAACCGTTAAAATCCTATTACTGGGTGCAGGTGAAAGTGGAAAGAGTACATTCTTAAAACAAATGCGAATTATTCATGGGGATGAATTTAGTGAACATCAGTTGTTGGAATACAGAAATACTGTTTACTCAAACATCATTAAAGGAATGCGCGTTTTGATAGATGCAAGAGATAAGTTAAGCATTCCATGGGGTGATGAAACAAACTCAAAACATGCCCATCATGTGTTTGGGTATGACAATTCTAAATTAGATGAAAGTGTCTTTCAAAATTACGTTGACTCACTTAGAAAGCTATGGTCAGATTCGGGAATTTTAGCAGCATTTGACAGACGACGAGAGTTTCAGTTGGTGAGTTTGCTCAGTTTCGTTACTAAAAACTCCAATATGCACAACTCCAAAATATTAGAGGCTTGTAACAGTAACTCTGCCTTTCTTAATTTTGGAGTAACTGCCCTTTTTCATTTTTACACATAGATTTATCCAGGACATAACTTCTACATCATACTGCTTTAAAATCATTTTCAATCACTCTAAGCAGTAAGGCCCCCGCAGTTACACGTTTTAACAGATTCGTTTCGATTTTCATTCATAAACGTTAAAGATATACTATGCTCAAATTTGATATCAGGCATTATTGGTTATTGCTACACAGTCTCATTGTAAATATAAAATAAACACGTTTGACTTCACACAAAGTAGATATTTTATGTTTAAAACTCTACACACTATAGGTGGTCACAATATGAATACATAGTGTCGTTTAAAAAAACTGGCAGTTTTTTTTTAAGAAAATACCAACTTTACATGTCCTGTAAAAAGAACGCGACTTCCAATACATAGTTAATTCGGTTTTTCATTCAAATTAGACATATTCAGTAAGGATTTCATAGGTTTTAACATATTTCTTTGATTAAAATATTTTACTCAAAGATGAGCATAGTATATCTTTAACAATATTTTTTACCATTTAATCGAAATGACCATATTGTCTTACAAAATTTCTTAATCATTGCCTGTTATCATGGATTTTATCAATTCTAGAGGTTTATTCCAAATTTAAAAAAAGCAACGGAAAATGGGTGTTTACAACCCTCCATGCAAAAAATTGCTCACTGACATACATTGTAATACATTTTTGGTAAAAAAATGGCGTATAAAGTACTTAGAGGTACCACCGTTTAAACGGTATCAATTCAGTTCTTAGCAATCGCGTAAACGTTTACAAAAAATTGTAAACATTGGAGCCTTACTAAGCAGGTATACATTGTGATTGTATACATCAAAGAGACAGCTATAAGATACAAGGGAATCCAGGAACCAGTCCCTAGCTCTTATTCAATTGAATAGACCGCTTGGTTCTTTTAGATGCCCAGTGTATAGCACTGATACATGCGAGGATTACCTGGATTTCTTACCAGTACACCTCTAGGTAGGTGGGAAACACTGAAAGTGTCTCTGAAAAATCCCAAGGGTGTAACCCAGGATCGAGCCCGGGACCTTAGGAGTGATAATCAGTGGTTTAACCAACTGAGCTATTGCGCCACCTAACATAAATTTTGTGACCATCAAGGGCAAACAATTCTGCCAGACAATTGTTTTTCAGAATTATTCCCCCTTTTCTACCTACTTAAAACCACAACAGAGAGAAGTTGAGCTAGCTTCTCTATTGACAGCTCTTGTTTATTATGATGTAGTTTAAGCTCCAGGTAAAGAATGTTAATAGATTACCTGGTTAATGAATTATATTCACATAATTAGACCCAGTAAAATTTCTGTGTGTTATTATGCAGTCTTAAAAAAGTCACTCTGAATTATTGCTGAATACAGAGTACCATTTACAAAGCTGTAAGTGTTTAATGTAAAACTGTATCTAATTAGAATTTATTTGAAGATTCTTAGATTTAGTTGAAAAAGAAATTCAAAGTCAGTTTCAAAATGTTTCTATGAATTATATGCATATAGTATATATCTAATAATTATTTACTTTAGCATTAAAAACGGTCAAGTAAATTTTTCAGGCATATAAGAATGTGTAAAAAAAACTTAAAATTGTTTGATATGTAAAGATTATAAGAATCCAAAAACAGTGAGAAAAGTTGTTGTTTTTTTGGTAACTTTTTTTAAGTCTATGACCTTACGACTTACCTCATCATGTGGTATACTGACCTGGGGGGGGGGGGGGGGGGGTTAATTTCCATATGTTCAAATAGCCCCCTTGTTAAGTTCCCATATGCCATGTTAGGCCACCAATCTAGCTATCAATCTACTGATTTTGTAAGCTTTGTATTCATTACTTATATACCTAGCTATGTGTAGCTTCTTTAAAACATATTGACACATGAGTTAACCTCAGTTCCATGATATTGGCATAATTTTCACTTTATTGAAGAATACAATGTAAGCTCAAAGATCTGGGTTCTAAACTACATGTACTAATGTAGATGTGTAATTTAAAAGAAACATAGACAAATTAATGTTTTGGGAGAGAAAGAAAATATTTATGGTTCTGTGATAATGTCAAGTGTATATTAATAGAGTGAGAAACTTGCCGACAGGTGCTCTCATGACTACCTGCTACAGCAGCTTATTCTCTTACTACCGGTATATTGAATTATTTTAGTTTTTTCTCAATCGATCTGGAACCAATAAAATACATATACTTCTATTCACATCTTATGTTGCTGGTCTAGATGCTTTATCTACTACAAGTTACAACTATATTATAAATAATAACTATATATATATATACACCTGGGATAAAAGTGAAATCTATAAATTGTTTTCACTTAGAATAGGAGATTAAATTAATGAAAGTTAGCTTTCTTTCTGACAGCTAACAACAATTACAGCATTTAAGATCTAGGTCATCACAATTTTTTATTAGGTCAGATGTTTTGTTAAGCTGGAACATAAGTTTTCATGATGTTGTAAAATGGAAGTTGTAGTAATGTAGTAAAACCAGTTGGTCATGGTCAAGTTATTATCAGGGCTGAATAAGTAGATATACAGTTTACAGTATTAATGCATACACTCTTGGTGATACAAAATCTGTCCTGGTCAGTATATATGATTATCATTATAACAATAACACAGTGACATTTTTTACATATAGATAACCTCTGTTATTCTTTATTTTTTATTCAAAACTTAATTTAAAACCTGAAATTAGTTGTGCTATCAGCCATATAATGTTGTTGTTTTGTTTTTGTACATAAGAACAGAAAGTAGTACTGTGTAACAGTTAAAGGTAAACTTAATCCAGATCAAGATGGTAAATTTACTTCTCCAAAAAGTGAAAAATCTTTTAAGTAGGAGATTATAACATTCCCTTGTAGCTTTGTTTTTAAAGTTTTATTATAGCTTAACAAACATACAGCAAGCCTACATCATTCTATACTCTGTTAAAATAAATATATCTATAGTTATAAAAGAATGTTTATGAAAGTCTACACCCAGTATTATATACAGTTAATAGAAATGAAATTAAATACAGGATTGTTGAAGTGAATACATGTATACATGTGTAAACTTAATATAAATATTTATCATATTATTATAATGACAGTCAAAGTATTATTTATGTTATATAAACTTGTGTCATACTTAAATGAAAAAGTCTGGTTTTGTGTCAAGGGTGCCAATAACCTTGCAACACCAGTCTGCACAATATTGTCAATAATGTTTCTCATTAGTAAATACATGACTGAGTAGAGTGTTCTTAAGTCTTTTTAACCTGAAAAGTTAGTTTATTAACAAGTCAAAGACCAGCTCAGATGCTTCTGTGACCAGAAATGAAACCATTTAACAGTTATAGTAACTGGTTAACAGACTTGTTGTTTAACGTTTTCTTGCAAAGGAATCATGATTTAATAATAACTTTTAGTTAAAAGGTGATGCTAAATTTGAAGTAAAAGGTGTTGCTTGATTCTTAGACTGAAGTTCAAGGTGATCAATGCTTGATTCAGGGGCTGATTTTAACAGGTGATGTTTGATAAAGGGGTTGAAGTTAAAGGAAAATTTTGATTCCAAGGCTCAAGTAAATTCTAAGGCTGAAGTTAAATGTGATGTTTGATTCCAAGACAAGAGTCAAGATGGCACATTTTCCTAATGAATGCTGAATGTTTATAGTTTAATTAAAACAAAACAGTCTGCCTGTACCTCACTAATGAAAACACAGTTTACAAATTATTGCATGTCAAATATGAACAACATTTGACTTGGTGTCTAACAGTTCAATATATATCATGCATATTTCAAACATATTGTATTGTATAATGTAGAGTAATTTGTGGTAAATGTGGTAAAATTTACGGCATCTCCATTCTGGTAACTACATTAATATAGTCAGAATGCTTCATTGACTTCATTTCATAATCCCAGCTTCTGCTTTACGTATCATTTGTGATTATACCTATAATGTATCAGGGCTGTTTCCAGAAAGGTACAATGACTTTTTTTCTGAGTGAAATTTCTAGGTTATCTGTAGGAATCATCAAGAATGTTTCATAATTGTGATATATGAAGTAAGAATGGCTGGGAATTTTCTCTGTAATTATAATAGTGATTACTGTCTGCAGATATTGGCTGTTGTAATGAACCCCCTGAGCCTGAACACGAATATATTTGTACTTGTCTCACTATGCTTTATAAAGAGAAGTGTTTTTGTTAGATACATGTATCTTTTGCTCTCTTGCATGACCTAGTTGACCTTTATTAGAAGGGATAATTTACAACAATAAAGTGTTAAAGAAATCAACTTTGTGATATAATTGTTTATATTACTCAATTTACTGCATACCTGAGCAGGAAAGTACAAAAATGCTATTTTCACCCCATGTGTATGGTGATACTTAGCTTTTTGGATCACCTGTTTGAGTGTTGGTTGGTTTAAGATCATCTTAGAGTAAGAACATTAATATAGAATCTACTATATCCTTTTAAAACTTAAAAGCCTGATTTAGAGATAAATTTAGATTAAATTCTCAAAAGTATGTACTAGATTTTACAAGGTTATGTTGTAAATTTGAAGTTTAGAGAGGCATGTTTGCCTTGAATGATTTAGAATGATTTAGCAGGTAGTTTCATTAACATATAAAGGAATTTGAAATTTATTCAAGAAAACAATTATAAACAAAAAATTCAGCTTGTGCTTGCTTCAGATTAATTGTTCAAGTTACTGCAGCAGATTATGATAATTGTGACATATGATAAACAACAAGAAATAGACCTGCCATGTGGTATACACTATACAGTAGTGCAGCCATATATTTGTTTTATTATATAATGCAGGGGCCTCTGTTGTAATGTGGCTTCGAACCAGTCTGACCCCTAATTACCGTGGATTCAAT